AAAAGTAAAATACTAAAACCCTAATAAGAATCTATCAATTTACGTACTACCTAAGTACCTATAGACATTGAGTATCGTCGTACGACGTAAAAAAGAAGTGTCACGCAGTACGTTTCTAGTAATGTCCAGAAGCTTTAAAATGATGAGAGTCAGAACATGTTGGTACTTGGAGAGATATTATTAGATTCTCAGAAAGAATCACTGTTTTACCGTACAAACATATTGGAAAATATACGTCTAATGGAAAGAAATTTGACTAATTCAGTGAAAGAACAACATGAATGAAGATAATAATCCAAAAAACATGAATAAAGAAGAAGAAAAACGAAATTACGAAGCTTGCAGTTTACAAAGCAAGTCACTCTATAGTGATTTACTATATACTACATACTAAAACTCAATTATGAATATGAGTTTTTTATGAACAAGTTTGTTATAGGTTTACTATTTCAGTTCGGTTTGATTTGATTCATATGCCCAAACTCAAGAGAAACAAATAAGAGAAAGTTATCCTTTATTAGATATAAAATTCATAATATTCTGCTATCAACTTCTTATTGTCAACCTTGGACTTGCAACACATTAATACTGTAAATATTACAATGGTAAAAATTTGAAAGTCTCAGAGCGTAAATCGAAAAATTTACATGAATTGGACTCCATATAATCAGTAGAAGAAGTACAAACCAAATTAACCAGCAATAAATCTTACATGTACCTTGTTGAATCACTACATAACAACACTGACCTTGCCTCAATTAACTTTATCCTGGAGAAATCAAAATCCCAAAGGAACTAAGCCAAGAAAAAAGTTCCCGAATCAGAGTAAAGCCAGCCTACCGGTTATGGAATCAACCAATTCCTTTGGTCCTGCACCAAAAAAAAAAAGTAACAAACATGTTGAGAGACAACATCTTGCTTCAACTGCAAGAAGTTTGAAAGAAATTATCGTCGCTACCAGGTCCAACTGCAAGAACCGTTCTTGATCCTGCTACTACCTGCGAAAGGAAGAGTTTAGTTTCCAGAAAAACTTGTTAGCTTATCACTACCATAGAAAATCCCACATAGAGTTTCGACTCAAGAACATTTTACAAGGAGGAGCTATGATTGGACCGTGAAATTGATCAAGCACGATAAAGGAAAAAATGAAGATTCTTGTAATTACCTGTGTTCTTCCAGCATCAGCTACAACAAAAGTAGGGAGGCCGACGCTTTCAGCCGCCTCTGTGACCTTATTCCTGAGAGCAGAAAAACAGATACTTTCAAATTTGTTGAAGACAACTTTATTAACATAAGAAGTACAGTAATAATATGTCTTGATGTGCATTTTTTCTACTTTTCCAAGAGTTTCACCTGTGCTTACATTTCTTGCTGGTTTTTGCAAGTGACGACTATCTTTGGTTGTCCGCATTCCTCCCATCGCCTCAGAAGGTATCGGTCACTGAAAGAATTAAGAATAAAACACAGTACATAAACTTCGGAATGATGCATTCTTTACCAACTGAACAACTCACTACAAACGAAATTACCTTTGCATTAACTCTGCATACATGCCAGTGGCAGCATCTGCAAATTTAGTGAGAAAGAACAATGAGAAAATATGAAAAACAATCATTTCTATTAGTGTTCGAACTTCAAAAACGTTTCATAGGACACTTACGTGCGCACTGTGACGCAATTTTGCCTGTTCTCATTTTTAAGTCTTGCCTAACTACCAAAACCTGTGACCATAAAGCTCAAATTAGTTACACATACATGCTCTGATTTTAACTTATAATCTCGGATTCTGACAACATTCAAATCTTATCACCAATGCATAGATTATGCATGTATTATCACTAGGTATAATAACTTGCTCCAAAACAATAAAACCTAGAGCTACTAGAGACGATAGACTATGGTTACATTAGAAGATAGACAAACCATTTTAAGCTCTTGGTCACTGGGATTGCTTGGTTCGGAACTCCGCTTCTGAATCTTACTGGATAAAAGTCTGCTCTTTTTCACTGGGAATTTCACTTGCTGTGAAAAATCCAATAACATACCGATGATGAAACCTATCACAACCCCTGGTATGAGATTCTCTGGCCTGAAACTCCCAGTTATCGACTTCCTCTCTTGTTTCTGATCACATTCACCACAAATAAAGGCAAATAAAACCACAAGTGTATATAGTTAGACGCAAAGATACACAACTAACAGGAATTCTGATTCAACAGCTACAATAATATCTAGGCATAAAGATCGAATCAACTGAGTAAATAAAGCTCCATTGTTGTAGTCCCAGTAGCATTATAGAAAGCAAACATTCAAATTTTCTCTAGAAAGAATCAGATTTTGACTCTTTGAGCTTAACTGATCCTTTCATCAATCAACAAAAGAAGAAAGAGCTTTGTGTAATTTGTTTAGTTTCAAAATTTCTAAATCATCCCTGAAAATCATCTAAGCTACTAAATTGAAGTCATTCAACACTCTAGTCTCTTCTCTTCTTCAGTTTTTCCCCAGTTCTTACGCAAAATCTGCTTTCTAAGATTTTTCTCGGAATCCGAAAAGTAAAGCTAAGGAAAATAGAGGAGTGAAAGTCATACCTTAGCTTGAGACTGCGAAGAGTTTCCAGAAGAAGACCACATCGTTCGCTTCTGGCGATTCTCCTCAGCAACAAAGCTAAGCCTTCAAAATCGAATACCATTACCATGAAGAAGAAGAAGAGAGATAAGAGTAGCTTCTGTAACTGTAAAACGTCAGGGTGTGCAGTTTCCTAATTGAAAAACGACGAGTTGTTTGGTTAATATTTTACATTCGGAAACATAATGGTCCAATTAGAAAACCTCTATAAGTATATAGCTACTAATGTAATTACTACAAATATCCGCCTACAAAACGGTGCGTTTTATTGTCGTCCCTTCTTTTTCGGGCGAGTAGAGCCACTGGTCTGTACAGTTCCCTCCTGAAAGCTGAAACCCCAATCAAAAACCCTAACGGCCCATTTCTACTACCGGAGCTCCGGAATGCCGGGTTTAACTTCCGAATCCGGCGGTGGTGGAGAATTGGTTCCGTTTCCGGCGACGGAAAAAGTTCCGGTGGTGTATCCTCTTCGCTACGGCTTGAAGTCTCCGGTTCATAGGCTCTCCATCTCCTGGGGTTGCGGAAACAACCTACGCGTCACGGTTTTACGGAATCCAGAATCAAGCGATGGTGAAGGAGAAGTTGGTGGTAAGGTGGTAAACGTGAGGCTTAGCGGTGAGGATGACGAAATCAGCGACGCTCAGGGGCGAAAGATCGCTTATGGATCGGCCTCCCCGTTTGCGCTTTTGCAGAGTAGGAGAAACTCGATTTCTAGTTTCTCTAAGATGGATATGAGTCCCTCTCTTCACCAGTCTGCTTGGTGAGGACACTCGAATTTCATATTCTCTTGCTGTTTGTCAATTGAAGTTGTTATGATTAAGATTTCTAAAGCATGTTTGAGCATTCTGGATTTTGATAATGGATGATGGTATCAGGTGGGAATATGTAATGGAATACAGCAAGGATATCAAATCTCTCCTTAGTAATTCAATATCTTCCCCTGCTCCTTTGATTGAAGACCCAAAATCAGTTATAAAGGTACGTACTTTACTATGCCTGTAATCAAGCTTTTCTTTCTTATAACAATTTAACTCGTCTACGAGTGAGTTAGAAGCTTTGAGTGTGGGAGCTTTGTTGATGGATTTTACTGTTGACATACACATGCAGACTTCTGAAGAACCAACTTCTTTAATGGCTGGGTGGGAGTTGATGGAATTATTTTATGCAGACAAGACATGTGTGTCTTGGTTGCCAGAACGGCTCGGTGATTGGTTATCTGTAATTAGTTTCTTCCCCCCAGCTTTTAAGCTATCTTAATTTGAACCTTCTAGAATTTGTTAACCTACTATCTATATCATGGCAGGACTACGATATACTCCTTTCAAGCTCACATCCAACAATCTACTCAAAGCTCGAGGATTTCCAAAAGGAACTTGTTGGCCTACAGGTCCTGTCACATGTATTTTATATATTTCAATTGTCTCACAAGGTGTCGATGGTGTTATAAACTTATATGGTGTATGTATATGGTCTTCTCTAAGAAGTCGAATAAAAAAAATGGTAGTTTGCTCAGAAAATAAGTCGATTAAAGAATTGGATTGCTTAATGGGTTTATGTGCCTTTGCAGGCCATCGAGGATGATCCAAGATACTGGGAAGTGATGTCATCTGCTTTATCAGTTGGTTGGCTAGAAATAGTGGTTCGTACTTTTTTGGGATAGGGGGTTCTTTTTAATTTGATCTTTGAAAGTTGCAATTTGAGAAATGTGCTACTTATACTTCTATTTTCAGGTGAAGTTGTTACACTTGCATGGCTCTTATCAATTAGACCAGCTGGGAAATCGTGAGGTTGGTAAGAACGAAGTAGTTCGTGTTTGAGATTCATGTCATATGGAATGACTATCTACTTGCTAGTACTTTTTTATGTGCCAGATTCCTGACTATTCGTTATGTAATACGGATTTGATGAAGTAGACAGAAAATGGTCTGGTAGAAGCTGTCGCTGTTCTCATTTCAAAAATGCCACGGATGCGTCCAAAACTAGAAGCAGGGAAATTTGGTGAATGCTTTGCAGCGAAGCCCGACTTTATGAAGGTATTTTTACAAAGATGTACTATCATTCTTTCTTTTTTAGGGTATTTTATGTGTCTAGACTTATATTGCCCTTTTTGCCAGACTCGAGAAAGATGGCAGTCTCAGATATCTAAACTAGAGTGCAGTGCCTTCTGGGTTCAATGTGCTCACCATCAGACCCGCGAGGGCTTGAGAAATATGTTGAAGATCATGATGGGAAATGCTGACTGCCTCACAGCTGCGACATGTAACTGGATGGAGCTCTTTGTTTCACATTTACTTTATCTCAGGCCATTCACGAAGGTGAATTGCTTAGTGGCTGTTTGTCTATTTAAATTTGAGCCGTATTTTTTTACTCAATCCCTATTGTTCAAATGGGAAACCTGGAAATGCAATTTATACCATTCTTCACTGCAGGGATTAGAAGGCATGCATAACCTAGCCCAGAAATGTGTTCAGTCGAAGCCAGTTAACACTTCCCATAAGCTTTTGAGACTGCTTATTGGAATTCTTGGAGAAAATACAGAGGTCAGTAATACGTCTTAAACCCAATTGGAGGTGAAACACTTCAGCTCTTTGTTATTCTCTAATCCAACATAGTGTAATTAAATGATGCAGGTTGTTCTGGCAGAGTGTTCCAAGGAGTTTGGCTCCTGGTAGGCACACAGTCTTTGTTTCATGTTACTAACTCCATTGAGTATGCTTTATTGTTTATCTATACGAATCAGGACGATACAATTTTGTGTTTGTTGGTAGGATGGTTGCACATGCCCTGGAATTATTGACTGCTGGAAGCGATGAAGGAGAAGTTCTTGTACATGAGGAGCAGCGAAACTTGGGTGGAATCAACTTGGAAGAGCTCCATAGAGTTGTTTATGCTCAAGTTCTTTCTTCTCATGCTTTGACTTGGCAGGTACCATTCTTTTATGACTTATCGGGTGGTAATCAAATTGGTACCTTTCTTGTACGTATTACACTTTTAGTTAAGAAATTAAAATTCTCGTTATTCTAAATTCTTCCTTTTTGTGTTTGAAATTTTGCAGATAGCTCCTATTTATCTAGCATCGTGCGAGAAACAGGGATCAGGCTTATTAGAGTTGTTGTTCTACAGGCAGCCTCTTCAAGACAATCAGTTGCTTATTAAGGTCTTCTCTATTTATTTGCATTTGTACATCAGTTTCTATTCCACTTGGTCTTTTACAATTCTAGAATATTGTCAGAAGCCTTTACCTGGTACATATGTTTCTCCTCTTGCAGAGCCTAGAAATTTGCCGCCTATATGACCTCAGTAGTGTCAGCGCTAAACTTATGAAGGTATTGATATATTGAGGCACTATTCTACACTTTTGTACTCTAATCTCAGAATTTGGTGAACAAGGAAAAAAAGATTTCATCTCAAGTAACTTATGGTGTTCAGATTTCTGGAGTGCATCATTGGAAACATGGGAGGAAAGGATCTGGGATTTTCTGGCTCCAGCAAGCCCGGGACGAACATTGTCTCAACGTGATTGCTCAACAGCTGTTTGATTCTGTTGGAAAGTCATTGTCTGATGAAAGTCTCAAGGTATAATTATATTCTCTAAACCATGTACTCAAAACAAATTTCATTTTACAATTACTGTTTTCATTTCATTACTTTTAACATGCAGCAATGGGAAGGCCTGGTTGAGTTGCTGGGTTCCGAAACGCAGATCTCTGGTGGTCTCGATTTTCTTCACAAGTATTAATCA